GAATTTGTCTTCCTTGATGACTACCTGATTTCATAATTTTGAAAACAATATCCTAACACATATCGCCTGAAACACTGAGTGGTAACTTTGGAAAGACAGTGAAACTAGAGGTTGCAATAATGGATTCATAAAGCTTCGCCCAGCTGGTCCTTCCAAGAAAGCCCGGTTTATTAGCATGATGATGCCTGACCCACTTTCTAATATATCAATAAGATCCGAAAGACAACAGCAGTTACTCACAGACCAGGGCTAACAAACATGTACCTGAAAAAAAACACTAGCTGTTTTCAAGGGGAGGTGCTGCTTTTATGAAAGCCCATGCTAGGGTTAATATTCACAAATGACAAAATTTTGTCCTTCACCTTCCAGAAATGCTTTGCACTTATCTAACTCTCATATGTAATGTGAATGTTTATGTAGCTATCACATTTACTAGACAAGGAGTTCCACAATTATTCAGATAAGATCTGTTTTTTCTTTGTTTTTGCTCCAGGGCTTCTTATACTGGAGGTTCTCCATGTTTACCAAATAAATAAATGAAGGACAATGTCAGATATTCAAGTGTTAATTACAGAATGTTGGCTTAGATTTATTTTATTTTTATTTATCTTATTAATTCTTTTGATTAGATTTTATATGATTATTGACTAAGAACTAGGTAACTGCCCAGACCAGTAATTTTCAGTGCCCAGGATGATTTTTTATTTTCTTTATAAATATTTTCTCATATCAATTGTCACTTTTCAATAAACACTATAATTTAATTATATATATACACATATATACACACATATATATATTATATATACATATATATACACACTATATATACTGTATATACTATATAATAAAGACCTAATAATGCAAATCAACCAAATGGAGGGACGACCAGTCATTACGATGAGCACTGACCAGCAGTGGGCAGATGCTCAATGCAGGATCTGTCGCCTGGTAGTCAATGTGCTCCCACAGGGGGAGCACTGCTCAGCCAGAAGCCGGGCTCACAGCCTCTCCTGCCTCTGCAGCAGCGTTAAGGATGTCTGCAGTCAGACATCCCCCAAGGGCTCCTGGACTGTGAGAGGGTGCAGGTGGGCTTAGGACCCCCCTCTCCAAGCGCACAAATTTCATGCACCAGGCCTCTAGTATGTGTATATATATATTTGTGTGTGTAGAGACAGAGATTACATCTTCTGTTTAACACAAGAATATGAGGAATGGGATTTCTGCCCGTTTACTTATTGATACATACTACACAAACACTGCTTGACACATAACTTCTCAATAAATATGTTAAGTTACTTTTATATGTCTGTCTTCTTCATTTCTCTTGATCATTCTTGACAGGGTTTTGAAAATTTTATCAGTCTCTGCAAATCCAATCTTAGATTTGTGTTCTATTCCATCAACTTGCAGTATTATATAGCTTCTAATATAAAAATTTAGTCTACACATTTTTCACTAAGTATTCACTTACCTAAATCCCAGAGGATTTTATGCATTATTATTAAAACATATTCTAATTTTATAGTAATTTTTAGGGGGGCATGAGTTTATTATTAACTGTCTCTTTTTTCTTCCCTATAGCAATTTTCTAGCACTTGTCTCATAATTGATTTCTAGTAATTCAAAAGAGATAATCTATTACTTTAACCCACTGAAATTATTTAAATTTTCTCAATGCTTAATAATATATATATATATATATATATATATATATATTTAGTAAATGTTCCATGTGTGCTTAAAAACAATAAATAATTTACAATTGGTACTGCAGTATTTCATTTGCCCATTAGATTCATATTACTTATCAATTATTCTGATCAAATATCCAGTATCCTCACTAGTCACAGTGAATTAAATTATTTTCAGTATGCCTGAGATACTCTTAATTGTGTATCAAAAATAAATATGCTTATTAAAACATACAAAAAACACACAAAAATATGGTTATTTTCCAAGGAAACCTCTATATCATTGCACAGATATGCACAAATTAGATTTTAGATTTTTCAGATATAGGAATCACTTTCTTTTGTGGCTACATCATATATTTTAGACATGGTATTTATATTATACAGTAATAAATAATATTTTAATTTTTCTAGATTTTGCTTTCATAATCTACATTAATATATGAAAATTAAAGCAGCAGTTGCTTTTTGTTTACAAAGGATTATTTTCTTATTTACTAGAGGTAGTCTAGAGCTTTAAAAATAGTTGAGTTTTTAAACTACTTCTGTTATTCCTATGTGGCATTTTTCTACCTAATGATATTTTAGCAATTTTCTTAGAATTGTGATTCATGTTTAGTGACCACTTAGAATTCTCAAGAAAACAAACAAACGAGAAACCAAAAATTCAAAGACTGTGAAACTTAAACCTAAATGCTTGGTTAGTTGTCAGCCAAACTTCTGAAAACAGTTCCTATAGTGATTTAAATTTTTTTCTTGCTATTCTTCTGGACCTAATTAGAGCTCCGATATTTATAGTATAGACAGGGGATAAATAACAGCACTCATAAGTCAAATAGTGAATCTTGCCATTTATAATTAACTCTTAAGTAACACTTAAGACCACTAGAATGAATAGTTTAAAATGTTAAATACATAATATAAATAAGCAATGCCATGTAAAAAGAACTCATTGTCATGTAATGAGAACCAATATAAAAATATGGGTTACTTTTAGAGTTCTTGCATATTTTTTGTTAGTTTATTTATTTGAAGAAGCTGAAAAAGTTTTCTTCTTTCTATGTAACATCTAGAACTAAGTCAGCTTTCTTGCTTTAATATTGCTGATGTTAAGTAGGCCCACTCAAACTTTAAGTGATTTGGCGATCATTTCACCAAAAAACACTTCTAGCACAACCTTCCCTCCAAAGGCTTAAGATTACGTTTGCCTTTATTTTCCATACAAAACAACTACAAAACAGCAAATTTCAATACATTCTTGACCATCTTAGAAAACCAGTAGCCTTTCCCTAATACAGAGGATTCCTATAAATTTCCACAATGTTAGAACCTAAATACAAAGAGTTCAAGAAAAATTTAGTCAGAAATTACTTGATAATTTAAGTACTCAAAAAATTGCATTAAATTACATCTTGAAAAATAGATATACTGGCAACATGACCCAAAAAAGTTTAATATCTGTTCTGTTTCACTGATTACCTAATACATTTGTGTGATATTCACAAGAAAATGGCAATGAAGAATTTTAAAATATTAGATTCAGAAAATACCTATAAATACTTCAGAAAACATTCATGATGTAGAGATTAACATTAATACAGAATTTGAGATTTGCCAAACATTGTTTTGCTCAGTTCATATATGATAATAATGGATATTATAAGAAAGAATCCACAACTGAAGGAACAATTATATTATATAAATAGAATTTGTAATCTGTAACTTTTAAGATTCAGTGTTACACAGAAGTAGTATGGTAGCATGGGAAAAATAGTGGTTTCATAAATTAAAGTGCATGAGTTCTAGGATCAATTTTGTTGATACCAGTATGATGAGCTTTGACAAAATCTTAAGCACTGATGTTCATGACTTCTGTGGAATGCACTAATAAAAGATGTCCCCACACCTCAGGGTTGCTGTGATGATTAGTAGAAAAAAGAGCTTTGAAGATTAAAGGTTTATATAACTGTGAGCTCTTTTTATACTGAAGTTATTCTTAACATGCCAGATTTGGTTTCAAGAGATGAAAAAGGAGCAAACTGTAATATTCTAGCTCAGAAATTATTGCTGGTAGAGTGAAATACTTTGTCAAACTTCTTTTTGACAATTTGTATTCACCTCATTTGCAATGAAATGATGCAACAACTGGGCTACATCATACAATTTTACAGATTTACCCGAATGCGCACATATGGCCCATTGAGCTAAGGGTATTTTAATAGGTGTTGTTTATTATAAATCAATCTCCTAAAACAATATTACATAGTTGATATGTATCTCCTTTGGGAGACCACTTTGCCTTTTTTATGTGATATCTTTTTATGTATTCACTTTTGGTTTTTAAACAACTGACCACATCTCATAATTTACATGAAGGAATGACAACTCTTTAACCTGCATCCAAGCATAGAGGCTGGATAACTCTGCATGAATAAGTTTTGATGGATGTTTTACTGTGTTGTTGTTGTTGTTGTTTGTTCGTGTTGGTTTTTTTGTTTTTTTGTTTGTGTGTGTGTGTGTGTGTGTGTGTGTGTGTGTGTTTCAAAACTTTCTTTTACATGAAAAATACTTGCTTCCCTTCTGTGTTTTCTAATTTATCTACAAATCCATCACACACACACATACTAATCTGTCATCTAGTTTTGAAAGAATTCTGGTTCTAAATTAGGTATTGAGAGAGAAAAAAAAGTAAAATTATTTTTTTAAATTTATCTTTATTGTTGAAGCATTACAGATGTCCCCCTATTTTCCACTATTGACCCTATCCAGGACACAGACACCCAGGCTTCACCACACTATTATCTGTTCTTTGGTTGATCTCTTCCTGCCAGTCCACCCACCCCAACCTTCATCTGAGATTCCTCAGACTGATTATGCTTCTATGTCTCTGGGTCTATTTTGTTTAACAGTTTACTTTGTTCATTAGATTCCATATAGAACTGAGATCACATGATACCTGGTTTTCTCTGACTGGGTTATTTCATTTAGCATAATGCTCTCCAAGTCCCTCCCTGCTGTCTCAAAGGATAAGAGATTCTTCTTTTTTAATGCTGCATAGTATTTCATGGTATAAATGCACCACAGCTTTTTTTTATCCACTCAGCTACTGATGGGCTCTTGGGCTGTTTCCAAATCTTAGCTGTTGTAAATTTTGCTGTTAAGAACATGGGGGTGCACATATTATTTCTGATTGACCCTAACTGCTGAGCTATATACATATTTGTATGTTCAGCAATTAATGCATGGAATTGAGTAACATTGTGGGAGATAAAGGCAAAAGTTTGAAAACAGAACACTTTTACTTACTGCAAATGAAGTTAGTCTCATCTGAATTATCAGTGCAATCATTCACAAAATCACATAGCTTGTCCTGTGCAATGCAGTGCTTGTTAGCACACATGAACTCTTGAGCAGTGCACTTCCTGTCTGGGCTGAGGAGGGGTGAGCAATCTTGAAAGGTAATGTCATCCACTGCTACATCTCCCATGTAACTGACACTGCGTTTTGCCCGAAAGATAATCTAAGGAAGGGAGGAAGGAGGGAGCAAGAGAGAGAGGAAGGAAAGGAAATGGAAGGGAAGGGATAAGGGAAGGGAAGGGAAGGGAAGGGAAGGGAAGGGAAGGGAAGGGAAGGGAAGAAAATCAGTTTCAGTTAAGCTGTCCATCATATGCAAAACTTGGAGCAAGCACTAAATACAACACTTGACTATAAGAATGCTGCATAATGAAACTGACCCAAAACACTTGGGGGTTGTTTAGATTTGTAAGAATGTGTGAGTGGCATCACCAACACCGATGCCTCCTGTGTTGATTGTGGGATAGGTGGCCTGAGCCCTGGCCGGAGGCACCAATCCACCACTGCTGCCTCTGCAGCTCCCAGATCAACAAGCCCTGTGCGTTTCTTGGAGCCTCATCACACGTGGAGCAACAGGCCAATCCAAGCACAGACTGTACCAAAGCACATCCTTCACTCTGCTTTGCTCAGTTCTTGCCATTCCTCAGCTCTGTCCACCCCAAGATATCAAATGTCAATACCACGAGGTTTTTTTATTGGCCACATCTTTGGAACTCACATTATTTTTATTTGCCTTTGATTACTGTATGTGATGAACACAATTCTCATGTGTACCATTGTTTGGTAGTGAGCTCCCACTTATGTGGCCTGCAATAGAATTAGAAGTGATAAAAATAACAGGAGTCAGTATAGCTTTCAGAAAGGCTAGCTTCAGTTTTTGACGTGACCACTGCTTAGAATAATAATGAACATAGTTTTTCATAGAACATAAAAAGTTTATTGTTTAGTGTCAAATTTTTAAGTGAAACTAGTTCAGAGTTTCTCTGCAGGCCAAATACAGATTTGTGTGTTAACATCAGAAATACTCCTGTATTCTAATGTAAATTTAGAACAATTAGAAATTAATTAACAAGAAATACAATTACCTCAGTGATTTTACACAAAATATTTATTGAGATCAAACACCCAAACACCTTTGACCAAATATATATATATAATTATTTTTCTTGAAAGAAATTATTATAATTTTGTTGTTGAAGACATGTTATGCTTCTATACTACTGTGGGAAAAGCTAAGTGCTTTCCTCTTAAGATGAGTGGATTAGAATAGTTGTCTCCCATTATAAAAATAAATAAAAAATAAAATACAATTTATATGTAAATTCCTATATAAATTTACATAAAAGGGATAAATTGTTTCTCTTCAGATCAAATGTGCTAAGAAAAACAATTTATAAGATTTATTAAGAGCTTGGAAGTGATTAAAAGGAGGTAAAACTGGAAAAATAATAATGACTACAACTTTTTTATAAGGTAAATTGCACCCTATAAAACTGAAAAAGGTGCTTTATCATCTGGATATATCTAAACATTTTTAAATACATGCTGGAATGTCCTGTGAATAAAAAATCAGATAACTACTATTACATTAACTTGTTTACCTACTATCCTTTAGACACAACCTCAGTTGCCTATCCTGTCCTAATGATCAAATCATCAATTACATCACAACTAGAGGCCCAGGGCATGATTAAAATTGCACAAGGAGGCTCCCACAGGGGGCTGGGACCCGCGCCTGACATACATAGCGCCGGCCACTGCATTGTGTCCTGTCCGCTGGGGTGGGGGCGAGCTCCGCAAGAGCCGCTGGGAAAAAGTCCCTGGCTGAAGCTTTGTGTCTGCTGGGGTGGGGGCAGGCGCTCCTGTGTGTTGTGTCTCCGCTCCAGGCTGTCCCAGTCTCCCTATGACCGCTGGGACTGGGGGTGGCATGCAGTCCCCTCCTGCCAATCTGTGCACGCAGCTCCTCCTGAGCGGTCCTGACACCTGGCTAGTTAGCATATTCCGTTAATATATATATATAGATAGATAGATAGATAGATAGATAGATAGATAGATAGATGCTCCATACAGTGTTGTTTAAGATTCCACAGACTTTATCAATAAATGTGATTAAACATTTTAAAAAGAGCAATGATATAGTTTTGGTAGAATGAAAGCAGGATTTTTTTTTTTTAATTTGGGAAACAATATAGAGTAGCAGTTGGATTATGGACTTGTAGATGACTTGCCTGTTTAAAGTTTGTCTCTGCTGTTTTGTGGTTATTTAACTAGAGCAGGTTACCTAACTTTTAGGTATTTCTGTATTCTAATCTATAAAATCTATACATATAAAGAGGTAATATGCTAATTGTCTGTTATGGTGTCCTAGTAATGAGAAATTTGCATATTGACAGACCAGCAGGAGGCTGCACACACAGCAGGGGGCGGGCGGCCAGGGCCAAGTTCCCAGGGGTCTGAGGAGAGCCCCTGACAGGAGCCCAGACTGCAAAGAGGAGGAAGCAGGCATGGGGAGCTCTTCCAATCCCCTGCATGGACATCCGACCCCAGCCCCACACCCCTGGGAAAATGGGGAAGCTGATGAGATGGGGAGAAGATCCAGCCTCCAGGGTAGCTGCAACTTGCACCTCCAACTCCCAGTCTCTTCCCCATCAGGGGCGCCCACAACAATAGTATGCCGGGACCACCCATCAGCACCCAGAGGCACCCGGACTCACAGCCCACTGCTGCTGGGCCACCTCCACTGGGCTGAGAACACCTCTCCTCCCTGCAACTCCAGACCCGGGTGGAGGCAGGCCTGAGTGGCCCCCAGGGTCAGACCCTTCCCCCTGATAGCAGCAGAAGCGCACTGAACCTCGCTGGGGGCAATGCTAAACTTACCCTCCTGGCCCAGTCCCCACCCCACTCCAGGAGATTGGAGCCCCACCCTGAGCAGGTAGAGCTGCTAAACAGCCATGTACAATTTAAAGAATGGCGCCAGGCGGGAAGGTTTGACAGTTACCTCCCCTTTGGCCACACCACCTCCTTGCATTCCCCCTAATGCCCTGCCCCCTGCCAGCACCTCCAGAAACAACCACTGTGACAGGGCTGCTGGCCAGCGTCCCCCCTCCAAGGCCTTGGAACTCTCTGCAAAGCTTCCATAGCTACAGCCCAGGAAACAATCATGGCCTCCTCCCCTAACCAGCACCTGCTACCTGAGAGGGTACTTGTGAGCTTAAAAATAACAATCTCTTCCTGTTTAGAGATCACTTACTTGAAACATTTCTAGGTTTATTAGCTCAGAACCTCCTCATGACAACCCATTGAGGTAGGTGGAGAAGAGATTACAATTCCCGTGGTATGTGTGTATGCGTTCAGAAATGAAGCTCAGAGAGGAAAAGTGTCAAGCCCAGTGGTTCCCAAGGTGCAGCACACGCCCCACGGAGGGAGGGAGGAGGGGGGGAGGGCAATTTGATTTTAAGTGGGGCAATTCGAGAATTAATAGTGAATTTTTTGCATTTCTTATGGTTGGGGGGGGGGGGCTCATCTACAGTGTATCCTATATAATAAAAGGCTAAGAGACAAATGAAGGAATGGTGGAATGACCAGTCACTATGATGCACGCTGACCACCAGGGTGCCCCTCACGGCTCCCGGATGCAGGCCAGGCTGAAGAATTCCCCCCTCAAGTGCACAAATTTTGTGCACTGGGCCTCTAGTGGCGATAATAATAGTATGTACCTCATCCAGTTATTGTGAAAACTAAAGAAGTATTTTTAAATTCATAGAATAGTACTTAGCACTTAGTAATTGTTATTGCTCTACTTGTAAAAATTATTATAATTAAAGATTCTGTTTAAATCAGAGTGCAGGTTACCAAACAAAACTCTGAAAATTACCCAGTGTTGAATCAGCATGTAATTTTTAAAGATTATCTTATACTTTTCCTCAATAATTAGAGCCATTCATCTTTCAGAGACTAAAGGAAATGATATCATAAACATGAACACTCACACTCTAGCTCCACTGCATATTATTTTGTTTTGCACATAGTAGGTGCTAATAAGCTTTCACTAAAAGAGTGATTGGATCACACACAAAAAGATTTAAACAACAAATTTCAATATATGAAATATTTAATTTATAATTTATTGTTGGTAGTTTTGTGGTGTGTGTGTGTGTGTGTGTGTGTGTGTGTTTTGTATGTGATATTGTCATACAAATATTCTACTTACATAAAATTAGTTAAGATTTCATTCCTGTAAGTGCAAGCCTATGTCTAGCAACAATGAAATATTTTACACATTGTTGCTAAGAATTTTTCTTGCCTCAGTTAAAAGATCGTGGAGGTTAAAAGGCAGAATCACTTAATAATATATTTCAGGATGTGCAAGGCCATTAAATTGCTTTCTAATATTTACTTCCTCAGGTTGAACTTATTTCTTAAAAATGTTCTAAATTACCTATAAATTTCCCATTAGAAAACTAGATTCCAATGAATCCAAACATAGAAGGGATTTATTACATCTATTTTTCCAAGAAATTGGGGACAATGCTGTATCAGTCGGGTTATACATCTGTATCTAGCCTGTGCTTTCACAGGAGCTGAGAGGGGCTGATCTATCAGACACAGCACACAATTGTAGATACACTCACTGAATGTTAACAGCAGAATTGGCTACTTCTATTGCATATACAGAGGATTAGAAATGTAATTATTAGTAAATATATCTTTTATCCAGAGATAAGTGATTCTAAACTCACAGAATTAAGCCCTGTGCAGTTATGGCTAATAGATATTTGCCTCATCTTCTAAGCAAACCCCCATTCTGCCAAAAACATAAAAAATTAAACCATACACACACACTTTCATGGGACTCTTGCTTTCCTGGCAATCCATAAAAAATAAAATCCATATCAAATATCTTCCCACATAATTAGTTTCACTTTAAACATTTTAATCTATGTTCTTTAATTATTTTACATATATCTTATCCTCCAAATAATATTATAGTCTATGTAAACACAAATACTAATACAATACACAATTTTGTTTCTCTCCATAATATTTTCAAATTAAGTGAATCTATTATCTCTAATGATTCAACAATACAATATGCTTTAAAAATATGTCCTTTTAATCAAATTAAAAATAATATAGTTATAGTCTCTTATAATATGCATATTTATAAATAGAGGGAGATGTTCTTTACATCTGCGAGACTGTGGAATGGAGTAGAATTGTCATTAAAATTAAACGTTCCCAGAAGCATGCTTGTCTAATTGGAGAAATAAGGACATTCTGAAATTTTAATTTCCTATGGAAACTACTATATATATTCTTACAAAACATCAGAAATGGAATGGGAGGATAAGACTATGAATGAAGAAAATAAAGAAGAAAATCACTAAAACTTACTACCCAAGTACTTGGATTACAAACCTGTATTTTTGAATGAATGCCTAAAAATAGTTCTACTTTTTTCCACTGTGCACCTTGCTGTCCACTTTGAGCCCACAATTTAGAGGTAACATTGTCTTTCTTGCTCAGTACCTGCAGAGATAAATCAAGTATGAAGTGCTGAAATATTTTTTCATGATAAATTTTAAACATGTAGGATTTTCCAAGTTTTTACTTTATTTTAATATCAACATGAAGTCCCTGATTGAAAAGCTGAGACAATTTTCATTAGATATCATTGTTTTCTATATAGCACTATGTCCCAGAGCACCTCACAAGCTTTGTGTAATAAAAGTGAGCATAATTACCTGTCATTCAAGTCCAAAGAAATCTGGACATCATTTAACTAAGAACTCTATGTTAGTTGTCTGTTTTTTAAATAAATTTATTGATTAACTATTGAAAGAGAGAGGAAGGGAGAAAAAGAAAGAGGGAGGGAGGAAAAGAGAAAGAGAGAGAGAGAGAGAGAGAGAGAGAGAGAGAGAGAGAGAGAGAGAGAGAGAGAGAGAGAGTCATTGTTCCACAAACTTATACATTCATTGGTGTGCCCTGAAAAGGAATTGAACCTACAAGCCTACAAGCTAGGGGTATATGGATGACACTCTAGTCAACTGAGCTACCCAGCCAGGACCTACCCCAGCTTTTAAAAAACACCTGACAGCAGTAACAACTGGAATTTTACATATTAAATAACATCCATGTTGTTGAAAAAGCACAAACTTACTAAATACTCTTTTGAAAATAATCTTCATTTTCTTGGGTTCAGTTGGGACAGTGACAGTATTACAGTGGGCGCTCAATTACTTTTAACAACACATGTGAGTGATATGAGCATGCACCTACTCATGCTGTGCTAGTAAGATTTCTCTATACCACAGCCTTGAAACTATACATTCTAATCAGTACTATATCCTCATTCTAAGGGAAAATTCAGATAAGTCTCAGTAGATAAATTATTAGGCTCCTCTTTGAAAAACGATACAAAATGAGTAATCAAGAGAGCAACTGAAGGTTAAGAGATCAACCAAAGGACTTGTATGAATGCATATAAGCATAACTAATGAACAGAGACACTGGGGGGGGGGGTTGTGAGGGTGTGTGCTGGGGGGGGTTTGAGTGGTTGGAGAGAAGTCAATGGGGAGAAAGGAGACATATGTAATTTTTTAATCAATAAAGAATAAATAAAAGGAAACAATCTTGGGAAATGCAGAACAAGTCCACATTCTAAAAGAACAGTCTCAGGTAGTTTTTTTAATCATCTTGTATAATAAAGAGCTAATATGCTAATTAGACTGAATAGCAAAACAACTATCCGGACGAATTTCCTTATGAAGCCAGGGCTGCGAGGGTTGAGTCCCTTGCATGAATTTTGTGCACTGGGCCTCTAGTTTCATAATAATACTTTTAAAAACAGAAGGTATACAAACCAAGAAATTATTGAGAAGGGTTTGTGATGATTTTGACTTTAAAGTGAAGGTAATTTTTAGTAGTTTCATTATCTTTAAAAAAAATAAGTTCAAATCGCTGTAGAGCTTTTAGAGTCTTAAGTACTAAATAATATGTGCCTAGCAAAAATAATTCTAAATTCTCAGTCTATAAAATTCATCATGTTATTGAAATCAAAAAAACATAATTTCTTAAAAAAATAAAAATCGTTTTGTGGACACTAGAAAGAATGTATTAGAAATAGAGCTTTGTATGAATATTATTCTATACTAGAGGCCCAGTGAATGAAAAATTCATGCACTGGAGGGAAGCGTCCCTCAACCTGCCCCCTCAGGAGCCCTTAGGGGCAGGAGGTGACCCAGTGATTAGGGGAAGGCAACATCTCTGCTGCTACCACTGCCAGTAGCACAAGCCTCAGCTGGCCCTGGTTACCTGAGCTTCAGGCAGCCCTAAGTGACTGGGAAACCACCATCTGAGGCTTGCCTGTGCCTCGGGCTGGCCCTGGGCAACTGGGGGACTAAGGGGACTGGGGTACTCTGGAGGCACATGCGTACCTGTATAGGGGAGGGCCCAGCCATGCTGCATGTCTACAGTCCCAGTGGGCCTGAGGGAACTGGGAGCCACCATCTTGTGGCTGTGGGCATCACCATCTTTGAGGGAATGCAGTCAATTAGCATATTCCCTTCTTATTGGCTGTGGGCATCACCATCTTTGTGAGGGCATGATAATCAATTAGCATATTTCCTCTTTATTAGATAGGATATAAATCACTAAGGAAAATGTATTCATTAACAAAGTAATGCAACATTTAGTGTTATTCAGCCATGCACAAAAATAAAGATCAGCTGTATTACTATTTTAACTATTTGATAGTTATGCATCTACTAATATAAAATCTTATCTACAAAATGAAAGCATATTTTAGATCATCACAACTATGAAATATAGTAGGAAAATTATTCTCATTTTTCTAGTGAAAAACTTATAATAAACATATTGTTTTGCCTAAAGATATTTTTTTAAAAATCAATGTAAAGCAAATGATAAATTGCAACCTCAATCAATAAGGCTATTAAAATACTTTCAGATTATTAAACATTCAACACATACATATACTGGTATACAAACAAGTTTACTTATAAATTGCTTTTGATAAGAAGTATCATCTGTAATAAAGAAGGAAATTCTTCTAAAATTCATCTATAAACTTAAAAGTGTTTCCAATAAAAACAGCAGTTTTGAAATAATATGCTTATCTAAAATTTTATTTGCAAAAATAAGTGTTTAATATGGCCAAGAAAATCCTAGAATAAGACAGCAATAACATTGGGGAAGGGGAAAACACCTAATATTAAAATTACAATCAAGCTACTGGGAAAGAAGTAGTTAAACAGCTGGTCTGCATTATATTTCTCTTTGTTGAGAAAAAGAAAGCAGATTACCCAAGTGCAATCTCCTTGCAAATGTCCTAAACACAGACTTCTTTGTAAATAAATTAATGGCATTCAGCACAGGGAGAGTCCTTATCTATGGCTGCCTTTACAGATATATCTCTGATCTAAAACTGCTCATGGTAAACAGTTCTGAAATGTTGGAATTCATTTCTTTCTGGGAAACTTTATACAAGCTCTGAGGCTGAGTAAAAATATAGATGCTTCAAAACACTGAGTTGGCTTCTATGTAAACGCTATCTCTATACATATTACAGACAAGCTGTATATTACATAAGGCATTTCCAATATGGTAAGACAGGCTCTATGAATGTGCATTCAGGTTCCAGAACCTCTCTCTAGTTAGTCTGTAGAACTTAGTTGTCTGAAAGAAACCCGGGCCCCATGGGGAGTTAGTTAACTCCAGGGATGGAACAGTGTAAAAATAAGATGAATCTAGAACTTCCTTTTGTCCATAATGAAATGAAATTCTCAAGGATGGAGGAGCTTGTCAAGGAAACATACCAGTCATCTTAAAAAGGGACTCCTATGACCAAATCTGTGACAATTTAAAAACCAACAAATAAGCAACAGATAAGAAATTGAATACAATAGGAATCCATGAATCACACTGAATAAATGAATTTAAAAATGAAGAAAAAATATTTTGGGATTTTTGTTGTTGGTGGTCTTCCAAAATAATACCAACTTATAGATATAGACAAAATAATGGAGTTGGAAAATCATAATTAGGTAATCATCATAGTAAAATTAAATCCATTAAAAATACTAAAGGATGCAAAAACTAGTGAGCAAAATTGAATCCAGGTCAGGATTTTACGGACTCTTCAAAATAGTTCTTTACAAAATATTTATTGAAAACAAAGGAAACAGAAGTACTGAGACTGATGGACATCATGTACTAACTAATGGGATGCATTATTAGTGACGCTAAAGGGAGGGGGAAAGCTTAACATTCAGCAAATCCAAATTTTGAAGAACGTTACAAAATAATTGAATTACAGTTTTTAGAATATCAGTTTCATAAAAATCTCAGGAAAATTGAGTGATCATTCCAGTTTGAAAGACACAAAGAAGAAATAACAACTAGGTGTGATATCTGATTCTGTATTAAACTGATTTTTCCCCCAATAAAGATGCTCCTGGGATAATGGACAAAAAATAAGATCTTTGAGCCAGGGTATATTGTCTGTGAGATTCTGGCAACCTTTTGTGAGTTTGAAAATGAAATCTGTTTTACAAAGAAACTATATGAAAAAGACTCCTGGAGAATGAACACCACTACTATAAATAACAGCATGAAGGATGTACATTCAATTTTTTACTAAAGAGTGTATAGTCATTTGCGCTATTCTCAGAACATTGTTACTGAAATTTAAATGAAATATTTCAAGTTAAAACTGTATTACACTGAAACTGTAAACTCAGGATACAGACCATAATTGTAAATTCAATAGTAAAAAAATATATATATCGTACTAGCCATGCAGATTCAATTCTGCTAAAATATTTTTCCAATCATACCATGTTGAAGTGTTAATAATTGTCCATTTTCACTTATTAATAGACTACATTTTGATACCCATAAATTATACCTTATGAATTTTTATATAACAAATTTTAAAAATGATATAATCTAAGCAATACCTGGAGAGAGCCAACGGTGGCACCATTCATGTAAGTCCAGAACACCAGGGTACATTTTGGTCCCGTGCGTGAAATGACAGGAGTGAGGATGTCAGCCTTGTCACCAAATTTTCCATTTGAGCTATCAGCATACAGGTACCACCCATCTGTGGTATTTCTAGGGAAGTATGATGTGTTTATAGGATAAAAAGAAAATAGAAAATCACAAAATATAGTTTGTCATTTATCATATTTTAACATTCTACAGTTTTTCCCGTAAGTATAACGATGTTTTATAGCGTAATGATGACTCATAACCTTCCACAAAAATAACTCTTCTATTTTGATTTTGAATACATGTATCAATTAGTACAATGTGTGCAAATTATGGTACTTCTGTCTAATCCCAGGTCTAATCTGTAATTACTTGGTTGATTTTTTTTTTTACAATGATACTGCCAATACTCTGAATAGCTGTATAGAGCTTCTTTTCATGAAGATTAAAATGAGACCCTGAAACAGTGAATGCCTTAAGAAGAGGCATTAAATAAATAAATAAATAAATAAATTTATAAATAAAATGGAAACTGGCTCAGGGTTCTACTCATAGATCTAAAAGGCTGTCAGGTTCAAATTTATTCTCTGTTAAGTTGGGTCAGTTTTACTAAGTTGGTAGATAATTTTAGAGTGTCTTTACTTTCTTAGATCCAAATTAAAGAAGAAAATAATGGTGGAAACAAATAGAAATGCAATCTTGCCATACAGGATAGTGTTTATGCCCCTACTTTAATTGTCAATTCAGAAAAAAAGAAAAGAAAAGAAAATTTTAAGACATCATTGGCAATACACAACTTTCTTAAAAGTTTAAATTTATTAGAGTGACATTAGTTAATAAAATTATATAGGTTTCAAGTGTACATTTCTATGATACATTCTTCACAATTTGAGCATTCTGGCATTCTTTCTTTGATTAATTAGATTTCTTACCACTTTCTCATCTAAATATGTTAGATAGTATAAAGTTTAAACTTGATAGTTATTGAAACCCCTTGCATTTAGAAAGTTTTATGATTTGATCAATGAAATGTGAGTCATTAATAGTAAATAGATAAAGACAGAAGTATTCATTCAATCATCATGTATTTATTGACTTTAAATTTAACTGTCTAAGGCACTGGGAATATGACTGTGAGCAAAAGGCACACAGGATTTAGCATCTGGCCTCATCATTTACTACATGGGAAAACATTGGGTAGGTTATGTAATCTCTCAGAACATACTTTCTTCATTTTAAAATGGGATAGTTCCATGTATGGTTTTAATAGAAATTAGAAATAAAGTAAGTGGAACATCTGACACAGTACCTGGTATATCTTATATAATTAATAAATGGTAGCTGTGATTTGAGGTTAAGAGTTTATCATCCTTGAAACCACAGAGGATATAAATTAAGATCATTTTTAAGAGATAGGATTTTTTACATTAATTTTTCTGAATTGTGTTTCAATGAGTAAGCACTTCCAACTTTGTTCCTTGTGTCTTAGTATCCAGATCTCCAGGGATACCAAGAATAAAGAAAACATGTAAATAATTCATTGACTTATAGATTCACTGAGATTCAGCACAATTTTAATAGACATTTCCCCCCCCCCCCAGAAATGGACAAGCTTCAAATAGAATAACTATTATGGTATCCAGTAGGTACTAGACTTATATTGTATACCCAAAATTAATATAACTTTTAATGTCAACTGTAATTTAAAATATTTTTAATTTCTAAGAAAGAAAGAAATACTAAGGACTAAGCAAAGCCAATATTACTCTATCAGATGTCAAGATCCATTATGAAGGTAGAATACTCAAGACAGCTTGTTATTGGAATAAAGACAGACAAGTGGGTCAGAGAAATGGATGGAATAGTTCTGAAAAAATCCACATATATTGTACACATGATTTACAAAAAATTTTAGATCATCAGAGCAGTGAAGAAGGAAAGGACAATATTTTTAGTGTGTACTAAATTAATTAGATAGCCATCTGTGAAAATAAGAAAAGTTGATATATATTTCACTGCATTTAAAAATAATAAATTCTAGGTAGATTGTACCAGGAATGTGGAAGGTAAACCAATGAAGCTTATCTAAGGCTAGAAACCCAATGCACAAAATTTGTGCAAGCGGTTCTGCCCTTACAAACATGGAGACTTGCCCCAACTTCACCTGGAAAGTAATTTGGAAGGACATCCAGAAGGATGTCCAGAAGGCCATTCAGCTGTCTGGTCTAATTAGCATATTATGCTTTTATTATTATAGATAATATAATATCTTTATAATGTAGAAATTATAGTTTCTTTAAACAATATATAAAAATAACCATAAGGAGTAACACTGAAAAACAGCTGAATTCAAATTAAGTATTTCTATTTTTAAAAAAATACCAATATGATGATCAAAAAGCCAGTGATAGGGAGAAAGCATATATACCACATTTCATAAATACAATATTTACTGATGGCCTACCATATAGTATGCACTAGCCCACATGTTCAACAGTTATATGTATATGTGTTGTTATACTACTAGAACATATTATGTATATATATATGCATATATACAAGCAAGAACTGGAGGAAATATTCCGAACTGTTAAAATGTTTATATCTGTGTTTGGGGCCATATATATTTTGTTTCCTATATAGTGCATGGATCAAAGTAGACCCTGAAAAATACTTGATAAGTAAATAGACAAGTGAGTTTAAAGTTAGTAGAGCACACATGGAGATAAAAGATGAAGGGAGTGGCAGAACTGCGGATTCAGATGAAATTCAGTTGACAAGTTGGTAATGTGTCCTAAGCTGGTGATAAACGAAGCAAAACAATACAAAACAATAACAGCAACAAATTTAGAAAAGACAGAGCAAAGCTAATAGATCTGGAGGCCGTGGAGGAATCAAATGATTAAAGGTCACAATTTTGGCAATGATAAAAAGCATCTAACTATGATTCAACTGGAGGTCCCTGTGTTTGTTTCCCAAAAAGTATACAATGAAAATAATAGTAATTTCCCCAATCCATTAGAATTAAAAAATATTCAGTCACTCACAAGAATAAATACAAAATAATTTTGTTATAATTATATAAATTATAAACCCCTGCAATACTCCCTTGCTGGCAAGGAAAAGAAGGGAGACATGACAGATCAATTTGAAGATTTCAAACAACAAGCTGCATGTGTGTGTTCATAGCACACTGTGAACATGGTTACCAGTGTAGCAGTATATCATGTATGCATTAACTCAGGGCGCATGATGTACGTACAATTCCCATTTGAAAAATGAAGAATTACACAACTTGTAATGAACACTTGCCTGTGTTCGAGATGAGATTATTCAACCATGTACCTATAAAGGAAATCAACTCCCCTCCTAAAATGAGAACAGCAAAAATGATCACACATACTGTGCTATCACCCATAAAATATCAGCATCTCTCTACCAGCCTTCAAATTATCTTTTCTCATATAAAGCATGAAGTAATGTTTTATAGAAACATACATTTTCTAATAAAACATATCATAAACCACATAGTAGTAAAAGTTGAAAGAAGTGTTACACATCCAGGTGTTACAAATGTACAAATCCATGGTGATAATATACAAGTTATTTATAAAGTCATTATAGCCTAAACTGGTTTGGCTCAGTGGATAGAGCATCAGCCTGCAGACTGAAGGGTCCTGGGTTTGATTCCGGTCAAGGGCATGTACTTTGGTTGTGGGCACATCCCCAGTAGGGGATGTGCAGGAGGCAGCTGGTCTATGTTTCTCTCTCATCAATGTTTCTAGCTTTCTATCCCTTTCCCTTCCTCTCTGTAAAAAAATAAATAAAATATATTTTAAAAATAAAAATTAAAAAATTTAAAAAATAAAAAGTCATTATAAAAAAGAGATCTGATTTATAGTCCATGCTATTTTAAAGAAAGTCTTCTAGGCCTCCTAGGTGATCAGTTTCTAAAGTCTTACCATTACACAGAGTAAGCAATTAAAATATTCTTTCTCTCCCCTCTTTATTTAAGAATCTCCTGGGTACTAAAATAAAGTTTTAAAAAATCCTCTTGCATGGACAAAGTAAAATATTTTTGAGTTAAGTCAATTGGCCTTTGATCTTGTAAATATACCAGATGAGGGACATATTCTCCAGGCTTATTCATTAGGTTGGGAGATATCTTTTGATTCATTATAATATTGTAGGCTGTTTTAACATAATTGATTGATATTAGCTACTAAGATTTATCATTAACTTTAATAGGTTCATGAGTAGCAGAAATACAAAGTGGCCTTTTTGCAAATGCAAGGTATCTCAATTTTAAAAAAGGACTTACAATTTTAGCAGAGTGTGTTTGGATTTCTTTTTCTTAGTCTCATGAAATAAAAATGAAGTAATTAACATTTGTTGAAATTTTATATAACCACCTGGGGTTTTTACCAGCTCAAAATTCAATAACAAAGGTACCAAGGCAACTATTTTAATTAAAAGTATCCACAGTTCCTGTTTCAATATTATATGACATTCACTGGAGAACAATTATTTGTGAGGCAAGTAGAAAAACATTAAAAAGTAACTGAAAATTTTAAAAGTTTAAGAAATTACACAGTTGTATTTATTTACCTTCTAATTCTAAAACAGGATTTTAAAATGCTCACTAATGTAAATATATTTTTTTTATAAAACAGATTTTCAGCCAAAGGGACACTAGCTTTTGAGATGTATAAAGTAAAATATTGTAAGTTTTTTAGATGAATCTTTAAATTAATAAGCCTTTAAATTAGGGAATATTAAATAATAGTTTGTCATTGGACACTCATAACAAACCTCAAAAGTGGAATTAATGTCATTACTACTTCTTGGATGGGATAACTAACATTAATAATTTGCCAGTGGTAATTCCCTTGAAGCCAGAATATTGATCCATCTATCTTCCCATGCTTTATATTCTAAAGTCATTCTCCTATAAGAGAAGTGTCTGAACAAGCAGCATCACCTGGGAACTTGTTTAAAATGCGAATTCCTGAGCCCTATCTCAGATATACTAAACAAAACTCTGGGGAAGGGATCAGCAATCTGTTTAACAAATTCTCCAGCCTATTCTGTACATGCTAAATTTTGAGACTCTGCCTTAAACC